GACACCCCCCTCCCCCAGCCCGCCCTGCGGCGCTGCCACACTTGGCCAATGAGCGTCTTGGAAACACTGCTGCCTCTTCCTCCCCCTCCTCCTCTCCCTCCTCCCCTCTTCCCCTCCTCCCCTCCCTCTGCACCTCTGAGGAGTGTCGCTAAGAGACGCGCTAATAAATATGACTCAAGACTCAAACAGAAGGCAGCTTCTACGCTCTCCCACAGCACATCGCTGGAAACTTCTACAGAGATCCTCTCTGTCCACGTTTCATCCTTGAGATGGGCAGGTCTGCTGCCAACGCCTCCCCCCCCCACCCCTTCCCCAGGCCCTTGGAGCACGGGGAAGAAGGTACTGAGCCGCTGGGGACCCAGCCCGCGGCCGCTGGGACTGCAGTGACGAGACACGAGGTGTCCACAGGCATGTCCCCCCCTCCAGTGTCCATGCATGGGGCCCAGCCCCGGCCAGGAAGCCCTGACTCTGTCACAAGCCTCAGATTGGCACCTGTGCCTGGGGGAGGGGGAGGGGAGGGGGGGGGACTCCTGACCAGAAACCACAGCGCTGCTCACAGCTACAGGAACCCAGTCTCGAACCCAGAGCCCTGGACAGGTGGCTTTGATTCCAATGCCCCTCGGATGGTTCCCCCCCCCCAGCACACACACACCACGACCACCGACCCCCCACCCCCACCCCCAGGCCCGCAAAACCCTCTGGGCCTTGAGCCTCTGTTCCGCCCCGGCCATCACCTGGCTCAGGCCACCGCGCCTGCGCCATCCCGGCCACCTGGGAAACCTGATCTTTGTCTACCTTGCAAACGCCCTGGCTTCCGAAGCTGCAGAGAATAAATTAGAGCCGGGCTCCCGGCAGCTCAGCTGTGGCGGATGGGCAGATTGATTGGCTTCCATCTGGGGGGGATTAAATTCCGCCGCCCCAAAATGGCAGCCAGGTAATGAGCTGTCAGTCAAACGGTGCGAGCCGGGGTCCTGGCGCCCCGGAAATCCGGCAGGTCTTCATTAGATCCCACGGAGGCCTAGGCGCTGTGTGTGTGTGTCTGTCTGTGTGTCTGTCTGTGTGTGTGTGTCTGTGTCTGTCTGCGTGTGTCTGTGTGTGTCTGTGTCTGTGTCTCCTACCTTGAGGACCCCAGAACCCCAGAACCAGAGGCACCCAAATCCCTGTGGCCGCTAGGGTAAGTACAGAGCTGGATTTGAGGGTCTTGCAGTGCGTTTGCCTGAGGTCGCTGTACACCCCCAGCCAGTGTTAAGTCTTACTGGGGGGGCAGCACCCCCAAAACGCCCTGAGATAGTCTCATGTTCCCACTACACAGGTGGGGAAACTGAGGCCCATGGACGTTGGGAATGCCACCTGGTAGGCCTCTGGAGGCCCGGGAAGGGAGAAGACCCTCACCACCCTCGCCCTGCGCCCCCCCGCCACGCTGCCCCTGCCCTGGCCATTTCTGTCGGGCCTTCAGCTCTATGCTCATCTGCAGCCCTGCTCACCCTGGGGGCCTTGGCACCTTGCCTTCCTTCCCACCTCCTCCGGGAAGTCCTCACTGACTTACCGCCCGCCAGGTAGACAGCCGACCTGACCCACGGGTCCCCACGGGGCATCTACATGCACTTCTGGGCATTGCAGGGGAGGGGGGAGAAGGAACAAAAATGCTTGCATGAGATGCGCCGGTGGCTCACGCCTGTCATCTAGCTACTCGGGAGACTGAGATCTGAAGATGGCGGTTCAAAGCCCGCCGGGGTAGGAAAGTCCACCTGACCCTCATCTCCCAGTTAATCAAGAAAAAGCTAGAAGGGGCGGTGCAGTCCAAGTGGTAGAGCGCTAGGCCTTGAGCACAAAGGAGCTCAGGGACCTGCATGTCATCAAAGCCTCCTGGCATCTGTGCACCACAGACCTTGGATCCCTGCTTCCAGAAAAGCATTTGGATCAGAGAGGTGGTGTGGCTTGCCTAGGTCACCCAGCAGCACCTCCCTCCCCCAACTTGCCATCTCATGTTACAGATGAGGAAAATGGAGATCGGTGTGGTGTTCTGCCCAAGGCCCCAGAGCTAATGATCCCAGGTCTGTTCCCCGTGGGTCCTCGTGATGGGGAC